CAATATAATAAAAAAATGAATAAATCAATAAACAAAAGGTAGTATATACATAAAGTGGAATATTATCCAATCACTAAAATGAATGACACATTGATATATGTTATAGCTTGGATAAACCTTAAAAACATCAGGCTTAGCTAAAAGAATCCAATGAAAACTCCACATTTATTATATGGTTCCATTTGTAAGACAGGTCAGAATATGGAAATCTATAGAGATAGAAAGTGAATCGGAGTTTCCTTTCATCTCAGAGGAGGTGATGAGAAGCTGAGGGAGTGAAAGCTGCAGGCTTCTTTTTGATTGTGACAAAAATATCTCAACTTTGCTACGGTAATAATCAACTGCACAAATCTGTGAATACAGTAAAAACCATTGAACTGTACAATTTTAAATGGGTAAATATCTTAATAAAGATGTTTGAAAAAATGTTCTGTGGTCACGTGGAAAGGCTTTGAAGTTTTTTTTTTTTAAATATAGACTTTTGACTTTTACATATACATTAGATCACATCTCATTACTTGCATTAAACATACTTTATAACTTTATTTTAAAAAAATACAATTTCTTGAACTATGTTGAAGTTCCCTCCCTACTACTGTTCTCTATTTGTCCTTTCTTTTTGAAGGCCCCAAAAGGTTTGCTGTTAATGATTTGTTTTGCTTTTTTTTCACTTATAAGCAAATTCTACCTTCACCTCTCACTCTTAAGCACCTTTTGCCTAACAGTATAACCTAAGAGTATGTTTACATAATTCCACACCTTCATTCTTTGAGGCAACATGAACTTCCTTATAGATAGAGCTCCTGTTTTTCCTATCATGAATTGTTTGATAAAGTTTTATACATCTCCAATATGTAAATCAATATAAAAATATTTCTCCTTAAATTCTTCAAAAATTTTGGTTTTAATTTAACCTCATTTATAGCTGGGCACTGAGGACTCATGCCTGTAATCCTAGCTACTTGGAAGGCTAAGATCAAGAGGATCATGGTTTGAGGCCAGCCCAGGCAAATGGTTCATGAGACCTCATCTCCAAAATAAACAGAAGATAATGGACTAGAGGTGCGGCTCAAGCAGTAAAGTACCTGCTTTGTAAGTGCAGAGCCCTGAGTTCAAACCAACTAGTCCCATGAGGGGGAAAAAAAAAAAAAGACATCTCACCTATATTAATATCCCCAGATTTCTTTTCATCATTTCCTTATTTTTTCTCTTCACTTTTAGCCTTCTGGAATTATTTCACTTTCAATGAGTAGGCTACATAGCATGGAACTGAGTTTTTGTTGTTCTTTTTTTGCTGTGCTGGGAGTTGAACCTAAGAAACTTGTGCATGTTAGGCAAGCACTCTATTACTGAGCCTTGAGTTTGTTACTTAATCTGGAGCCTATTTTTATACTGCTTAATTTAATTCATATGTATTAATTATGCTTTCCTTTCTCTCATTTTATGGTAATTTTTCGTTTGTCACAAATTTACTTTTTCTTTTTTCTCCCTCTATCCCTATGCCTATCTCTACAATTTTTCTATGTATTTTGGATACAAGTTTAACTCTTACATGCAAGTTTAACTCTTTTACAGTCATAATCTTACATACCATACTTACACATGTATTTTTTGATTATCTTTAAAGATGACATTAGTTCATTTGCACTTTCTTTCACCTCCCTTTCCTCTATCTATCCCCTTTTGATATTTTTTCCTTTTTCTTCTTGCTTTTTTGCATGGATGCATGCATGATTCATTTTTTTCTCTATAGTTCAGTGCTATCATCAATATACAACTCTGTATAAATCATTATACATATGTATATATATTTTCCTAGAACTTGGCATTTCATTTAAAGTGCAGGTTCAGTTCATCTTTATTTATTATGTTTGTGATTTTCTACAGAGACAGCAACAGACATTGTTGTATTAGATTTTCACTTTCAGTTCTCAAATTCCATTTTTTCCTTTCATTTAATCTCTTCTCCAAATTAGTATATTTTTTGCTTCAACTTCTTCTCCTATCCTTTAAATCTTCCATTTCATCAACTTTAATTTCATGTCATCTAAAATTATCTTCTATCTAAATTTTTCTTCTGCCTTTAAGATTATAAAGGTTATATTTTCATCTTTTGTTTACAAAGCTGTCTCCCACACTACCTACTGCAGAGTTGCAATGTTTTGTTTCTTCATCTTACGTTTTTGTGTGTGATTTAAAAAACCACATGACATCAAAATTACCATCTTATTTTTAAGTTAAGCAGTGTTAAGTATATTCACATAGTTGCACAACAGATCTCTAACTTTTCCATCTTGTAACAACACTTAAACATTATACCCAATAAACTCTAATTCTCCATACAAACCCTCCTCCCCCCAGCTCTTGGTAATCTCCTTTCTGCTTCTTGTTTCTATGATTTTTGTCTCCTTTAGACATTTCATATCAGTGTAATCATAAAGTATCTGTCTCTTTGTGACTAGACTATTTTGCTTAGTATAATGTCCTTGAGGTTCATCCATATTGTAACATTTGGCATGATTTCTTTATGAGGGCTGCATAGTATACCATTGTAAGTATATAAAACAATTTGGGTTTCTTTGATAGGAGTCAGTACTGGGGTTTGAACTCAGGGCTTCATGCTTGCTAGGCAGGCACTCTACTGCTTGAGACACAAGCCACACCTCTACTCCGTTTTGCTCTGTTATTTTGGAGATAGGGTCTCACTTTTTGCCCAGGCTGACTTGGACTGCAATTCTATTTTATGCTTTCTGCCATCACTGAGATGACAGGCACACACACCACCACATCCAGCTTTGTTGCATTGAGATGGAGGTCTCACAAACTGCTTTTACCCATGTTGGCCTGGAACCGTGATCCTCCCAATCTCAGCCTTCCATGTAGCTTGGGTAACAGGTGTATACTACCACATCCAGCTTTTTTCCACTAAGATGAGGTCTCCTGAACTTTTTTGCCTAGATCTGTGGTCCTCCTGATCTCAGCATCTCAAGCAGCTAAGATTATAGGCATGGGCTACAGGCATCTGGCTTATTGTTTTCTTGAGACAGAGTCTTGCTGTGCAGGCCAGGCTTGCCTCAAACTACAATCCTCCTTTCTCCATCTTCCAAGTGCTGTTAAAGGCCACCCGGCTCTTTGTTTCACATTTTTCTTTCATTTATTTATTCATTCATTCATTCAAGAGGCAGTTTTACTACGTCACCCAAGCTGTTGTGGAACTCACAATTCTCCTGTCTGTGTCTCCCAAGTGCTAAGATTACAGGCATGGGCCAGCATGCCAACTTTATTTAATTTTAATTAACCAATAACAATTCACATTTTCTTTATTCATTTTATAGACATCTGGATTGCTTCCACTTCCTGGCTATGAAGAATAACACTGTGATAAACATGGGTGTGCAGTTTGAGATCTTGTTTTCAATCTTTTTGGATAGGTACTCAGAAGAGGGATTGCTAGATCATATGGTAATTTTTTTTATTTTTTTCAGGAACCACCATACTGTTTTCCAGAACAGTTATATCATTTGACATTACAACTAACAGTGAACAAATTCCAATTTCTCCACATTCTCACCAAATATATAGTATTTTCTGTTGTTTGATAGTAGACATCCTAATAGGTATGAGTTGACATCTCATTGTGGTTTTGCTTTCCATTTCTCTTATGATTAGAGAAGTTGAAGATCTTTTCACATGTTTTTTTGGCCATTCCTATGTTTTCTTTGGAGAATTGTCTATTTAAACCTTTTGCCCATTTTTAAATCAGGGCTTTGTTGTTCTCATATATTCTGAATTTTAACATCTTACCAAATACATAATTAGCAAATATTTTTCCTATTCTGTGGGTTGCCTATTCCCATTCTTGTTTTCATTGAGATGCAGAAGTTTTTAAGCCTGATATAATCTCATTTGTCTATATTTGCTTTTGTTGCATATGCTTTTGGTGTCATATCAAAGAAATCATTATCAAATCCAGTTTCTTGAAGCTTTTCCTCTATATCTTCTTATAGAAGTTTTATATCTTAGATTTTTGTCTATAATCAATTTGGAGTAAATTTTGTGTATGGTTAAAAGTAAGGATTCAACGTCAGTCTTTTGCATGTGGTTATCTATTTTTCCCAGTACCATTTGTTGAACAAACTGTCCTTTCTCTATCTTATAGTATTGGTATCTAGATAAAAACTGATTTATCTTGTACATTCTTAATGTGAGTGTTGAACTGGAACCGTTTTCAACATACCATATCAGTACACTAGTTCCTTGACTCCTTTTTCTCCTTATCTGGATATTTTTCAATCTTTCTCTAAGAGGTAAAGCTTGACAACTAGATAGTAATAGCTTGTGCTTTTCTTTTATGTCATAAGAATGGGGCCATGGACAAACAGAAATTGATTTCATTTAGGCTCTTTTACTGTAATTTTTAAGAAGTTTGTATTGATGCAGCCTCTGTGTTTGTCACAGTCTTCTATAGTATCTTTAGCTGTTCAGTTTTCCCTGCTTCAATACTGAGAGGTGATATTTTACTTCTAATATTATCAGCTTTAGGTACGGTTGTTACTTGGGATCTAGGCTCCAAGGCCTCCCAGATGCCAAAATCTGTGGATGCTCAAATGCCTTATACAAAACAGGAAGGTATTTGATTATGGGCACATCGTTCTCTACACTTCAAATCACTAGGTTGCTTATAATACCAAGAAACAATGTAAATGGTATGTTAAGTAATTGTTATAGTATATCAAGAATGACATGTTCAACAAATACACATTTTTCCCCAAATATTTCTAATCCAGAGTTGTCTGAATGTACAAATGCAGAATCCTCAGATACAGAGGGCCAACTGTATTTACTTGTAAATAAGCTGCTATATCTTTTCTAAGAAGTAGCAATTATTCTACAAATTTATGTCCACATAGACAACACTGAAATGATTTGTATAAGTAAAAAAAAGTACCTTTGTTTAAATCATATAAACACACTGACAACACTCACTCCAGTTCCATTACCTGAAATATCTGTTTGTAAGGATTCTTTTTCTTTTGGCCAGGCTTCCTTACAAACAGTCCTTTTAAAATGGATCTCTTCTTTCTCTTCAATGGCTTTAGTGTCTGGTAGGTTTTTAATTTTTGTGTCTTGTACCTGAACTAAGTGCTCCACAGCAGTAGAATCAATGGAACCTAAGAGAGGAAAATTAACACATTAATACAGATAGGAAGTTGACAACAAATATTTAAAATACCTCTAAAAGCATTTATTGTGAGAAAGGTATTGTTACTGGTGCTAAAAAAAAAATAAAATTAGTCAAAATGTGTTTAAGAAAACAATCTAAATTGGAGTGAAAAAAGATCATGTACATAAATAGATGTCATAGGGTTGGCGGAGTGGCTGAAGTTGTATAGCACCTGCCTACCAAGTGTGATGCTGAGTTCAAATCCTAGTACCGCAAAAAAAAAAAAAAGAAAGAAAGCATAAATAGATCTTATAACATAAGATGCTGGGAAATCTAAATATTCACATGTAGATGACTAAAACTAGATCCCTCTCATCCTGTACAAAAATCAATTCAAAATGAATCAAAGACCTTAACGTAAGACCTGAAACTGTGAAAAAATGCAAGTGTGATACATTTGAAGACTTTGCAGACTAAATGTCTCATTCTCAGATCTAAAGATCTTCATTCTGAAAGAGAGAATTTTAACAAAAAACTGATTTGTTATAGTACCCGTGGATGACAGGAGCTCTTTAAAACTGGTCTTTCTTCCAATCTTGTGCTCTGAACACAAGGCCAATGTATGCTCTCAGCAAGTAGCAATCAAGGTCAGAAATAAGGACTATTTGTTGTAGACCCAGTTGTAGGGAAGTGTAAAACTTCTTAGCAATTAAATAGATATAGCTTTTTACTTTAAATAGGAAATTGTTTTCTAAAACTAAAATACTTTTCAGACAATATGATATGTTTGTATTAGCTTTTGAGTAATCCCACTGAGGAAGTGTAACAATCCATGAAATGTGAATATCTGGAAAGTAAGCAAAAAAACAAAGAAAAAGACCTCAAACTTTGAAACTACTAGAGGAAAACACTCCAAGATATAGAACTATAGGCAATGACTTTCTGAAAAGGACTCCAATAGCTCAAGAAATAATAGCAATTGACAAATGGGAGGCAGGCTAGAGCTAGGGAAAGTTTGGGACTCATAGAAACTATGTGGCTTAATATTCAGATTAAACATTACTCTTTCTCTGAGCCTTTTATTCAATTACAGATATGCAAGTAGGCTGTCCGTACCCTGGCTCAGGGACAGCTTGGACCACCCTCATCTGGCCAGGGGACCACCCATGCCACTGGTAATTGATTATTGAATGGGAATCACCTGGTTCTTCCCTTTCCATAGGTTAGGATAGGTATTAAAAGCCCCTAGATTCTCTCTGCCTCCAGATTCCACCTAGGCCCACTATGCTCCCTTCTGTAATTCCCTTCCCTAACTTTGAATAAACTTCATTTATACCCATATGCCCTGCTACGGAATCTTCCAAGTGGGACACAAAGAATGTGAAAGTCTTCTGATCACAGGCTGCACCATTGCCATTAACAGGACTGCATCAAATTAAAAAACTTCCTCACAGCAAAAAAAAACAATTACCAAAGTAAAGAGACAGCCTACAGAATTGGAAGAAAATCTCTGCCAGCTATTCATCTGATAGGGGATTAATATCCAGAATACATAAAGAGCTCAAAAAGTTATCATAGAACAAGTATTCCAATCAATAAATGAGCAAATGAACTGAATAGACTGCTCTCAAAAAAGAAGTACAAAAAAACCCAATAAATGCATGAAAAACATCTTCAAGATCTTTAAATCATCAGGGAAATGCAAATCGAAATGACAATGAAATTCCACTTCACCCCAGTCATTAAGTTATCATCAAGAAAACAAATAACAAATTCTGGTGAGGATGCAAGGGAAAAGGAACCCTGTACACTGTTGGTGGGAATGTATAAATTAGTGTAACCACTATAGAAATTAGTATGGAAGTTCCTCAAAACACTAAAAGTGGAAGTATCATATGTCTTGCTATACCACTCCTGGATATTTATCAAAAGGAATGCAAGACAACATACAACAGAGATGCCATCACACTCATGTTTTTAACAGCACTATTCACAATAACCACACTATGGAAATCAGTGTAGTTGTTCATCAACAGGTAAACAAAGAAAATGTGGCATATACCCACAATGACATTTTTTTCAGCCATAAAGGACAGTATTATGTCATTTTCAGGAAAACGGATGAAATTAGAGATAATCACGTGAAGCAAGTAAGCCAGACTCAGATAAATATCACATGCTTTCTCTCATATGAAGAATCTAGATTTAAAAAAAAAAATTAGAGACATGAAAGTAGAAGGGGAACTATGTGGGAAGAGGAAGGGGACCAGTAGGGGAGGGAGGGAGGATAAGAAAGGATAATGGGGGAGTGAATATAGTCAAAGTACATTACATACATGTATAAACTATTAACATACAGTAAAAAAAAAGGAATTTTGTCAAAGAGAGACAGATAAACAGTGGTAAGTACTCGAAAGAGAAACTAATACTAGCAAGAAGTTTTACAGAAGAACTCTTGATAACTGATTTGGGCCTTAGAAGATGGGATACATCTTGAGGTAGAAAGAGAAAAGCACTTTAGGCAAAGATGACTACCAAACAAAAGTACGGAGTCAGGAAAGCAATTGAGCATTTAAGAAAATGTGTATGGTTATTTGGTTACAGAATCTACTAAGGGAACAAGGTGAGAACTAGCATTCAAAAGGTTGTTTGGAAGCTGGTTGTAACATTCTAGAAGTCTATGCTAAAAGAATTTAGACTTTATTTTCAAGAACAATGAAGACTAAAGTTTATTAGAAGACTAACATAATCAAAGCTTTCTGGAACATTCACTTAGCAACAGGAAAATGGGATAGAATTTCGATATGTTTTCCAGAATACACTCCCAACTTCTTTATAAAAAGGTAATATATAACAAAGAAAAGAGGCTAATTCTGCTCTAAAATATGCTTCTAGTTTATAACTGTGGCAAAAATACCAACTGTCCTCTAATACCCATTTTTCTTTTCCTCTAATATGGTGTCCTAACTTTAGCTGGGCATATATTACCAGAATAAAGACTATTATCCTCCCTGATGATGTACCATGGTGCGACCTAAGTCTGTGACTAAGTCCATCCAGTAGGATGTAAGAGGCATGGTACATGTAATGTCTGAAAAGGATCCTTAAAGGAAGGAATATGCTTTTTTCTTTCCCTATCTTCCTGCTGGCTGGAATATGTGCTGATGGCTACAGTTTGAGAACAAAGGCCAAAGTGTTTAGAGCAAAAGAAGATAAACAGCATTGTTTCCAGATACTCTGGAGCATCATGTCAACCCTTGAATGTCTACTTCTAGATTTTTATGAGAAAGAAATGTTTTCCTGTCTTCTTTAAGCCCATGTTATATTTTGGTTTTGTTTCTATCACTCAAAGTCAAAGCTAATCCTAATTTGAATACACTAATATATGTATTTTTAATCAGCATACAATCCTGTTGAATTAAAATAACTGGAAGTAAACAAGTTGAATTTCTAAAGAATAAAGGCTTAGGTACAACAACAGTATTAGACAATACCTCATGGCACTGAAACTATTTTACCAGTAAATTCACTAAGTGAATATAAGATTAGTATGTGCATTATATTCAAAAGTACACCAGGAATATCTTAAAGAGTTTTGAAAATGTCAGATTTACCCCTGCAAAAATATACCAAAAATGTAGCAAGAAATACTTTAGCTACTTCACATATGAGCAGGATAAAAGAGGGCTGGTGAGAACAAAAAGACTAGAGAAACAAATTTCTGCTTATATTCTTAAGGAATAATATCATTTTAGAAGACCAAAAGAAAATGATATACAGACAATCCCATTAAGCTACCTGTAGTGTCTCTCTGTAAGGATTCTTTTTCTTCAAGGTAGGCAACCTTGGTCACAACCCTTTCATTGATGATTTCTTCCTTCTGTTTTTTGTCTGAGAGATCCTCATCGCTAGTGATGATGGGCACTTGAATTGGGGCATCTGGAATGACACCATTTGATCCCAGAGAGAAAGATAAAGAACACAATATACAAGCAATCCTTCAACTTCCCCCCAAACACATAAAACCCTAATACTCTTTATAAATTAGGAAAAGAACATTTTTTTAGAATGCAATATGTAAAAACTGTGAATTAGTGTTTTCCATATTCTTCTATGTGCAGTAACAGTTTAAACAGAGTAATATCTTAAATAAAATCTGTTCTTTGATGGTTTGATGCAACAGTAAAAAAAAGTATTGGTCAGGTTGTTTTTTTAAGATAAAAACAACAATTTCAAACACTCCAGCCTATTCAAAACTCTGGCATTTGTAGAGTCAATTTTGGTATTCTACATAGTCCAAGAAAAGCACTTACACCATCTAGTTTTTATTTATAGCATTCTCATATAATTATTTGCTGTTTTTTTTCCCTTGGTCATACTTCATTTCCTATGTCTAAGAATGTGTATTTCTCAACAAAGAAATCAGAAAGGTAACACAGATTACTAAAAACCCAATCAAGAATCAGTCTTTGTTTTATTTATCATGATATCTTTCCTTTTAAATTTATTTTTTCTATTTCTATCCAATTCTAATCTCTTTGATCCAAAACTCTTCTGAAAATTTTAAACATTTTACTAATTGTTAATAATGTATTTCAGGCATACCACAAGTATAACATAATAAACATGAAGGTATCAACAACTGAACTTAAGAAAAAAGACATTACAGACATAATGGTTCCTTGGGTAGTCTCAATGATGACATTCTCTTCTCCGTACCAATCTTTACATTGGATTTAGTTTATCAGTCTCAAGAGTGATTGTCAATTCTTCAAACACTGCACTAATATTAATATTCAAACTAATCAATATTAATTAATAAGGTATTACCTTATTTCAAATGTATTAAATTTTACATAAAAGATATACTGTACATTCCTTTAAACACTCAATAGTGATTGTGAGATTTAGTCACATTGATATGACTCTCATTCTCAAAATTATGCTATTGTGTTATTCTAGTATTCTATTGTATAGCTATATCAACATATCTGTTGATTAGTATAAACTCTATTTCCAATTTTTTATATTGAAAAGCACTATACTGACCGTTCTTATAAATTTTCCCATAGGTTGTATAAACTGCAACACTACCTTTCCTCTGTTTTGTCTGTTAATAGTTTAGGTTGTCTGTTGTGCACACAATTTTTCATTTTAATAATTTCAGTTTTATTTTTCCTTTAGAGTTTATGCTTTGTGTTTTAAAAACTATTTATATTAACATATTATTTTTGTATAGGGGGTATACTGTGACTTTACGAAAGTACTTACAATATATCTTAGATTCACTCCTCCATCATTCTCTTTGTTCCTCCTTATCCCATCTTCTTGGAATAGTTTCAAAAGGCCGCATATTGTTCCATTTTCATACACGCCTACATAATATTTCTACCATATTCACCCTCCTTCACTCTTTCCTTATTGTCTTCCCCCCCTCCCATTGGTACCAACCCACAGATAGGACCTGTTTTATCTTCCTATCCTTCATTTTTGAAAAAAAGACATTTTTTATTTAAGATAGCTATACAGGGAGTTTCATTATGACATTTCCATATATGTATGTATTATATTCTGAACTGGTTCATCCCCCTCCATTTTTCTCCTCTCTGTCTTAGCCCCCTTCCTATGGTAATTTCAACAGGTTTAAATATTCTATATTAATTCTTGTATAGAAAGTATTTCAACTATTTTCACCATCTTTACTTCCTTCTTTTACCCTCTCCCTCCCATTAGTGTCCTCCTGTTTTTCATTCTTGCCCTTCATTATTTAGGTGTCTTTCTGCTTAAGAAATTCTTAACTATATTATGGTCATAAAAATAGACTAAATTCCAAAAGTTTGAAATTTTTCTTTTTATAGTGAATATCCTTGGAATACATTTTGCTCAGTGTGCAATTGGGATTTGATTTTATTTTTCACATATATATATCATCAGTGATCAAAGCAGTATAAAAGCTCATCTTCATTGTTTCTCCATAGATTGTTAAACTATCTCTGTATATACTAAGTTTCCACATTCATGAGTTTTGTATCTGGGTCATTATTCTGTTTCACTTTTCTGTTTATTCCTTTTGAAATGATATTGTAAATAAGCTCTCTCTCTCTCTCTCTCTCTCTCTCTATATATATATATATATATATACGTATTTTGTGCTTGTTAAGCATGCATGCTACCACTTGAGCCACTCCACTAGTCTTTTTAGCACTGGCTACTTGTGGACTATGATCCTATTTGTTCTTTCTAACCTACAAGGGGCTGGCAGCCACCTGCCTCCATGCCCAATCATTGATTGAGATGGGGGTCTCCCAAACTTTTTGCCAAGGTTGCCTCAAACTGCAATCCTCACAATCTCTGCCTCCCACATAGCTATTACAGGATTGAGACACTGTGCCCAGCTAAAGTCTTGATGTCTGATATAGCAGTTCTCTTACCTTATTTTTTCAAACATACTTCTCAATTTCCTATAAAAATTTCAAAATTAGCCTAGCAAGTTCCATGAAAAATCATATTGGATATGGAAATTAATTAGGTGGGAACTGACATCTTTAATTGATTATTGCTATTGTATAATACTTCAATTATTTAGATCTCCTTTAATATATCTCCATCCAGTTTTATAATTTTCTATACAATAGTCTTACAAGTCCTTTTAAATTAATTTCTAAGTATTCTCTTTATCTGTTTAAAATATTTTTAGTGTACTAGAAAATATAAAATGCACAAATATAGATACCAATGAATTATTAAAAAGTAACTATGTGTCTTACTTTACACAGATCAAGAAATAAAACCTGGTTAAGCAAACTACATGTTCCCCTTATTATTTCTTCCCATCCCCCTCATGCAACATGAGGGCAACATTCGATTTTAAAAACAATAAATTTGGAATTTTTCTAAATTTTATATAAATGAAATAGTATATATAATCTTTTATTTTCCTTTCTTCATACATTATGTTCATAAGATTCATTAAATGTTGTCACATGTACTTATCCTTTATTCCTCATTTGCTAATAAACATTCAATAATGTTAACATGCTACAATTTATTCATTTTATTGAATAAATCCTGAGCATTTGGTAGTTTCCAGTCTGGAGCTATTACAAACACTCCTGTGAAGCCTGGAGGTGAAGTATAATTAGTGGGCTGTTTGTGCAGATTTCCAATGGAGTTCAGTTTAATCTATCACTTTGTTCCCTGCCAAATTTTTCATATTCACCTATTCCTGAAGTTTCAGACAGTGGACTCTTAGGGTTATCTGTGTCAACTCAATTGTCACTAGAATACAGGGAATGGCAAACCAGTATGCCATCCCATAGCGCATGAAAGTTTCCATTTATGAATTATACTTTATTAAAATATTTCTTCTTTTATTTGCTTGGTAGCATTAATGTTAGCTGGGAAGTATGTCTTTTTCTCTCATTTCAAAAGGCATTTATAAACAGATTTTGGCATGTGTTGCTGTATAACAAAAATTATCTAGAAAAAGAAATATTTGTGCTTTAGCAAGCAGACTTTCATCCATTTTCCTCCAAAGGCACTGAAACCTTCAAAAAAAGTCATAAACACTATGCTAAAAGTAGAACATAGAGCCACTCTATGTTTTAGAACTGTCCTGGGATCAGTAGTACCTATTTGGCAAATAGCTATGCATAGGAATAAAAAACTACTAATGTAACAAACAGCAATTATATACACAGACTTTTCAGTAGCTACTGGAGTTTAAATAATTATCATGTATCAACTAAAGAAATATAATGTCAGCAATACAGAATTTAAAAGCAAAAGGATCTTTAAAGAATAAAGGCTTTTATAAAACAGTGGGATCTATAACTAGGAATAAGGGATAAGTCTGAAAACTCAAATACCTATAGCAGCAAGACAGATAAGATGTATGAATAAATTAGACAGGGTCTGAGCATTATGGGGGAGGAAACAAATAGGAAAAATTGATGCTCTATTTATGAAGGAGGCAGCCATGGTTCAGCTTCAACTGATTATTGTCAGGAAGGAATGTGAGCTGAGTGCAATCAGATACTATGAATTTTTAAGAAAAGCCTAAAATCTTACTTTTAAATGTTGGCAGCAAAACAAACAAACATACATCATGGGAGCACATATAATCTGGCAAGAGATGTTGTTTGGAACATTTAACAGATAAATTCATAAGGCTATTCAATCAAGATTTTCTATGAATTTTACTTGATTCTTTCACTTCAAAAGCTGCAATGTGTCTCATATCCCATGGTGAAAATAAAGTTTACAGTTTTCAACAATTTCTGAAAGCAGTTTTAAAGGATTTTATTAATATCTTACCTTCTTGTACATGCCCAATATAAAAGCAAGGAGAAAAGTTTGCATAACAAATTAGGAAAAGGATAAAAACTGGACAATATTCCCATTTAGAAAAGGAGGAAACAAATCACAAAATACACAAAGTCACTAGTTACCTGCATCATCTTTCTGAGAGGATTTCTTCCCCACTGAGGAGGGTGCCTTAGTTCTTGCCCTCTTACTGTAGATCCCTTCTTTATGTTTAATGTTTACAGTGGCTGACAGGTCATCATCCCTTGTGCCTAGCACCTGAACTGGAAAATCTGGAGCAATAGCATCATTGGACCCTACAGAAACATTGGAAAATAGTAAATCAACACTAACACAGATTTGAAGTTGAGAAAAACTTTAAAAAGTTTTGCCTTTAGACCACATCTGTGAAAAAGGCACTATGATGGGAGTGCTACAGGGAGATGTCAAATAGAATAAGTAACAATGATACCAAGCAAAGAAGCAAATGACATAAGAGATGACTTATGCTCTACTGAGCTCTACTGAGGTGTAGAAGGTGTAGAAGGGACACCAATTCTATCTCAGGAATGTTTTAGAAGGAAGGAGAAAAAGAGTACCAGGGGGACAGGGAGAATAGGCTTTCTGGTATGGAAAAGAAGGTAGAAAGACATTTTAGGCAAAAGTTACTACATAAGTAAACTCGAGGAATGTATAAGAACAGGAGATACTTTTATAGTCAGGCTGAATTAAGCAGGTGTGTTGGCACATGCCTATACCCAGCACTTGGAAGCCTGAGGGAGGACCATTGAGTGTATGAAGCCAGTTTGGGCTATATAACAAGTCCCAGACACTGCCTGAGCTACACAGTAAGACCCTGAACCAAAAAAGTGACAGGGGATAGAAATTTAAAATAATTATTTAGAATAAAATTTGGAATTTCAATCCAAAGAGTACAGACTTTATTATACATGAAAATGGTATCATTTTAAAATAATGAGATATTATAATTATATATGTTTTCAGAAGAGCTGTCTGGCAGTACAAAAGACAAAACAGTAAAAGGGCTGGGGATGTAACTCAGTTGAGAGCATTTGCCTATACTATATGAGGCCCTGGGTTCTATCCCTAGCACACACACACATGCATGCACATACACACATACACAAAATCACTGAAGGGAATAATTTTTATATCATACATCATCACTGAAAGGAATAAAAATTAGAAAGTGATATATGATAAAAGATTTCAAAGTATTCAGCTTTCATTTAAAATACTTCTCAATATTCCTATATCCACTGAAAAGAGAAAGTGATCTATTATCCATGACATATCTAATAAGCCAAAGAGTATTTCTAGCTGGGCATGATGGCTCATGCCTGTAATCCCAGGTACTTGGGGGCTAAAAAAATGGGAGTATCATGGTTTGAGGCCAGTCCAGGCACAATGTTAGCAGAGATAATCTCAGCCAATAAGCCTGTGGTCCCAGCTACATGGGAGGTCGTAGGTAGGAGAAATATACTCTGAGGCTGGACCCAGGCAAAAAACAGGAGACTTTACCTGAAAAACAACTAAAGCAAAAAGCAGAAAAAAAGAGGGGTTGTGGGGAGAAGGGCTGGAGCCATGGCTCAAGTCTGCCTAGCAAGCATGAGGCCCCAAGTTCAAACTCCAATACTACCTCCCCCCACAAAAAAAAAAGAGTATTTCTGGACATACAAAGCTTATAGTAACTATAGAATTATCTTCAGCAACAATTTCTCTTTCTAGCCCAGGATCCCATACTTTGTGTATTTCTAGAGCTTCTAATTAATATGTGTATAGCAATAAAAGCTGAGAAAGTACTACTTTCATCTGTACAGTACAAATATAAATAAGACATATAGGGTTTTTCAGGACAGAGTGCCAGGACCCCACCTATCCTCCTGGGATAGATTATATTGGGTTCTTCTCAGTTTCCTTGGCATTATTTTCTGTCACTTGCCTCTTATCACTCTGGCAAATCCTATTATCTTTCTTCTACCAAATCTTTTAGTGCTAGAGTTCCTCAAGGGGCCAGAACTAGACTTATTACTCTTTCTAGATAAACTTACTGACTACCAAGGAATGGCTGATAACCAACAAATATGCATCACTACACTAGATGAGAATTTTCTTCTAAGCTTCTGATTCTGGCATTCAGGGAGACAGCTAGCCTTTCAAGCATTTTAATAGAAATTAGAAAAACATGTCCCTTCCCTGAGTAAAAATTTTAATTTACTATAAAACAATACAAATAGCTGTAATGGATGGTTATTCTTCCCATAAATTCTCCCAGAGACACAGAGAGCACGCACCAGGAGTAACATGCACATTCTGTCCACCATCCCTCACTCTCTAAAAGAGGTGACCATGTTAGGTTCCCAGTTAGGTGGGGAAAACAACTAAGTCTATGACAGCAATGTATTGATGTACAGGAGAATAAATGTCATTGGAGCTGAGAGGCAGTTGGAAGAGAATGAAGATATGCATGTGTATGTGCACTTATGTTCTTGAATCTGTGCATTGTTATAATAGTCTGTGCAAGTGCAGATCTATGTTTGGAGCACAAGAGTTAACATTATTGCTCTAGAACTTTAACTAGAGACCTGGAACATTCATGCCCATCTGTGTATTTTCCTAAATTGATTCTGCTCACATTCAACTGCAAGTCTCCATGTGGATTTATAATAGGAGACTTATTTTTAACATGTCCAAAGCAGTTATTTGGCCATTGTTTCCAAATCTCCTTCTTCCTCAATCTCTTATCTTAGTAATAGGTACTTCTATTCACCCAGTTGCTCACTCTAGAAAACTAGAAATCATTTTTCCCATCTCCTTAACCCTTACTTTTCATATTCTATCACTAAGTCCAGTAGGAACTATTTCCCAAAAATGAGCTGACTTTGTCCATTACATCCCATCTCTATTGACATCACTCTAATCTTAGATGCTACCATCTTCTATTATCTCCACTTAAACTCTGACCTTCCTTACCCTGGATCTCTGACTTTCCATCTACAAGCCAATTTTCCACATAGCAGCCAGAATCAGTTTTACAAATGGAAACTAAACCACAATTGCCTACTAAAGTCCACATGCTTTAACAGGCTTATAAATCTGTGTGACCTAGCACCTACCTATCATTAAGCCATTATTTATCCACCACTCTGCTTTACCCTGTGAAGTAAAACTTATACGAGATTGTTGTTTTGTACTGAGCTCCTGCACTAGTCCCCAAAAGATCAGACCAAAATGGATTAACTTGTGTTAAGTATCATGCGATAAAACTGAAACTTTAAGGAAGCAGAAATAGATCAGTTTCCCATAAAAACAGGAGATTTGTAGCAGCCAACTGAAAAGGGCCACTCAACCTGAGTGGGAGGAAAAAAGAAGCCTTCTCTTCTTTAATCCTTACAAGGAAAGGCAACATACCATTCAATCTATTTTTCCTTGTTCCTGGTCTGCAATTTTATCAAAACCAACTGTTCTGCCATACCCAGTGGAACAACTTCTAAGTTATACAGTAGGTTGCTGCCTGATTCATGAATATTAGATCTTTAAACTAAATTTGTTGACTTTTTTTTTTTAAAGTGGTACTAGGGTTTGAACACAGGGCTTTGCATTTCCTAGGCAAACACTCTACCACTTAAGCCATAAACTCTGCCCTTTTTGCTTTAGTTAATTTTCAGATACAGTCTCTTGCTTTTGACTGAGGCCACCCTCAGACCTCAATTCTCCTACCTCTGCCTCTCAAGTATCTGCAATTACAGGCAAGAGCCATAGCACAGGCTCAAATTTTTTGTTGTTGTTGTTTGTTTTTGAACAACCCACACTGCTTTCTTTTCATTCATCAGATACATGAAGCCCTTTCCTGTTTCAGTGACTTGGGAGCAGACTGTGCCCTTCACTCTTTGCCTGCTAAATTTCAGCCTTATCCTCTGTATCTTAGCTCAAAAGTTCCTTCCATGAAAAGCCCTCAAGCCCCCAAAACTATAGTGGATTCCCTTGTTATTATCATAAAACTCTTTTCTTAACACATTATTCTTAAATATATACTTACTTGTGGTTTATTTGTTTAATGTCTATCTCCCCTCTTGAATGTAAACTCTATGACAAGAAGGGTAATGTGTACTTTACACATTCTTGTATATGTAGCACCTAATACAGTATCTGCCTGGAACATGGTAAGAGCTTTAATATTTGCTGGCTGAAGAAACAAATGAATATGTGTTGAAAGCTTCCTGTCATTTAAAAAAATCTGGTTATGAAAAAATTCAAGAAAACAATTTAAAAACAAATACAACCAACCTTTGGTTATATATCCTTCTATGGGAACACAAACTGGGATCATATCATATAGTTTCATAATTTTTTGACTCTAGTAGCAATACATTTAAAAGGGAATTTAGGGGTTAAGTTTAGCATTTAAGGTGAAACTCTCCATGCAGAGTCAAAAAAATCACCTCTGAGAGTACATTAGGCAGCCATAACATTGCAACTCTATGTTCAATAGGCGCATCAGAGTACTGTTTTTCCTCCATGCTTACACTTTGTCACTCTGCCTGAACCTGAAGACCCAGTGATGTGCCTGGGTTGTGTTTAGAAGCCAAGGTATACCAAAAGGACACTTTAGAATCACATTAAGGGAATCAAGAAGAATGAAAAATGGTCACTAAGGGGAGCGCACTAATAGGAGGGGGGAGAGTAAAAGAAGGAAGTAAAGAAGGTGAATATAGATGATGTACTTTCTATACAAAAGTGAATATAGAATTTTTAAACCGGTTGACCACACCGTAAGAAAAGGACTAAGGTAGAAAAGAGAAAAATGGAGGGGATGAACCAATTCAGGACACAGTACATATATACATGGAAATGCCATAAGGAAACTCTCTGTGTAGATATCTTAAAACAAAAATATCATTTCTTTTTTTCTCAAAAATGGAGAATAGGAATATAAATCACGTCCTGTCTAGGGGTTGGTACCATTGGGAGGGGGGAGGATATAACGATGGTGTAGGAGGGTAATTGTGATGGAAACACTATGTACTCAAGTATGAAAATGGAAAAATGAGACCTGTTTAAACTATTCTATGAATTGGGGATGGGGAAATTTAAAGGAGAATGATGGAGGGGATGAATTTAACTAAGATACATTACAAGAATGTTTGTAAATGTCACAATGTACTCCCAATAAAACAATACAAAGTTGTTTTTTTTTAAGTCAAATGAGGATTACAATAAAACTTTGAGAATAAGATTTGCCATCTCCCATTTTATCCTACCCACATGGTCATATACTCATAGAGAATACAGGGCA